ACTAAAGGGGCTGCTGATCAACAGGCCCCACCCAGCCAGGTAAGAAAGGCCCTTGGCACCTCCTGCCCCCACTCCCACCCCAAAGCCCCCAGTCCCATCTGGGGCCCTGAGCAGGTCTGGCCCAGCCCCACCCTGTCCCGGTGGCCCTCGCCCTGGGTCTGGCAATGCCTGACTCTTTGCCCCTCCCCTGCAGCTCAGCAGGGCCCTTTGCCCTCTTCTTCCTGCCAAGTCAGGGGGCCCAAGCTGCTCCCTGCCCCCTGCCCAGGCCCTCACAAGGCCAGGCAGACCCTGAGGGCTCCCCCACCCCAAGCTGGGATCAGGACCTTGGACAGAAAAAGAGATGGTCCCCTAGAGAGCGTCTCTGGGACTCTCCCTCTGGCTGCCTCGTCCTGGGAATTGAAAGCACCAAACAGAGTGGCTGTGGAGTCTCAGCTGGGTGGCCTTAGTCAAGCTACCTTCCCTCTCTGGGCCTTGGTTTCCTCATCTGTGAAGCAGAGTTATGCCTAGCTTCCTTCCAGGGTTCGTCTCAACATTATCTGAACATCTGCGTATAAAACTGCAGTACAGTGCCTGGTTGTTAGGATTAGAGCTTAGGAGCCTTTGGGGAGGCAGTCCCTGTAGCCCCTGGGCCCCCTCCCCCCACCCCTGCTTGGTGGGAGGTTGGTTGGCCCAGGTCTCCCCAGGCCATCTTTACAAGTTAATGATCACAGGCCTTATCAGAGCCTTTTACCGTTTATAAATTTATAAAACAAAAGAGAAATAATAAAGCTCGTGGGTAATTAGTAACCAGGTCAGCACTGCTGAGGAGAGGGGAGGCATCGGGCTCAGACCCACCCAGTTCTCTGGGAGATGGGGAGCCGGCCAGTGGATGGGGGTACACAGGGAGGCCTCTAATGGTGCCTGCTGGTGAGTTGTGGGGGCCTAACTAACACTGTGCAGGAAAGGGGAACCAGGTCCTGCTCCGAGGTTCCATCTCGCTCAGGTAAGACCTGGGCTTTCCTGGCTTAATGCTTGAGTCCCTGGGTGGCTAAGGGAGCCCCTGACCTCGGCACCCCCTCTCGCTAACCGTGCTTCCTGACCCTGGAGCCTGCGATCTGAGTGCGTAGCAGGAAGTTAGGGTTTGGGAAGTAGAAATGGCCCTGGTGGCTAAAAATTCCCACCACCCTCTGGTTCTCCAGGCACTTGAATTATGAGCTTTCCTGCTTTCCACCCCCCACCCCCACCCCGGCTCAGAGCTCCCCTGGAGCATGCCCTTCCTTCTCAAGCACTGGGTGGAAAGCCCTGGCTCACGGGAACTGGGGACCTTGCCGAGGGCCAGCTCAGGGGCTGGGAGACTCCAGCCTCTGAGCAAGGACGCCCCGAGCTCTCGGGGGCCCTGTCCCCCTTCCTCACAGCCAGGCTAAGAGCCATAGCTCCCAGACGAAGGGCTAGTTGAGAGCCGAGGGTGGGCCTCCCTGGGCTCTTTGAACGCCGGGGACGGGCAAGGGGTCCTTACTGCAGCAGGGTCTCCACCACGGCCTTCTGGTGGGCCGCCTCCTCGGGGCTGAGGTTCTCCAGCTCTTTGAGGATGGGCGGCGTGAAGTCTTCCCCATCGTCGTCCGTCTCGTCCTCGGAGCCCCTTGCCTCCCCCAGCCCATTGGGCAGCTCGGCCAGCTCCGCCCGACCGCCACCGCCGCGGGACTCCCCCTTGTCCGGGGGGCCATCTCCGGCCAGCAGGTAGGGCCCCGGCTCCCCCAAGGCCTGGATCAGCGCCTCTTTGCTCAGGCCTGACTCGAGCAGGGCCGCCAGAAGCTCCGTCTGCAGCTGGCTCAGTTTAGACACCATGGCTCCACCACCACCACCGGGCCACGCGGCCTGGGGCCACCACACCGGCCACCTCCCCCACCGAGTGGGCTGTCTACTGGCTGGCCGATCGGCAGGCAGTCACGAACCAGGCTCTTTGCGCCTACTGCCCCCCCAAACCCCACTAACCAAGCCCTGTGGGCACCCCCAACCCCCAACTCTGGCCCCAGCGGCCAGTGAATCAGGGCCCCTGCCCGCTCTGTTTACATTGGAGCTGGGGAAATTCTCCAAGGTTCATATTTATCCGTGTGCTTAGCGAAGGGACTGAACTTTGGACTTCAGCCCTGCAAAGTGCAGGCCTCACGGCAGCGCAGAGGGACGGGGGAGCCGAGGCCTTCAACGGGAATGGGCAGCGGGGAGGGTGGGGGAGGCCGTGGCAGGGGGCAGGGCAGCTGGGACGGAAGGGGCTGGGGGCCACCGAGGCCTTCTGGCGAACAGCTTCGGTCCCGCCCCGAGGACTTTGTAGGGGGTTCAGGCCGAGGCAAGAGAGGGAAAAATAGCGGGTTTCCCTGGGGAACTGAAGCAGCAAGGGGTTCTAGGCAGGCGGGTCGGCTCTCCTGAAGGTCAAGGCTAGGTCACGTCCATTTTGAGACCCACCTGTGCAGGCCCAACACCAGGCCCCCCTGTGTATATTGCCTCATTGTATCCCCCTAATCGTTGCCAGTAGGTACAGGGACCATCCCCATTTTACAGACGAGGAAACCAAGGCACCGAGAGGTTAAACAACTTGCCCAAAGTCCCACAGCTGGCAAGGGACAGGACTTGCAAGGTGGGAGCAAGGGGAGGCCAGTCAGGCACTTGACTCAAGTATACATTTTAAGGGGGCATCAAAAACTCCAGTAATCATATGTAAAAATATCCAGTGTACCAAAGTACATAAAAATATGCAATGTATTAAAAATAGAAAGTAATGCAGGCCCCCAAAGAATTCAAAACGTGTCCACACAAAAACTTGCATGTGAATGTTCATAGTTCATGGTTCACAATAACCAAAAAGGGGAAGAAACAGAAACATCGATTGATGGACAAATGGACAGGTAAAATGTGGTGTATCCATGCAATGGTATATTATTCGGCCATAAAAAGGAGTGAGTGACATGCTGAGACTTGAAGGTATTACGCTAAGTGAAAAAAGCCGGTCACAAGAGGTCGCATAGGATTCCACTGATAGGAA